CGCCTGCCTTGCCCTCTACTTTCTCCTCACAGGGCATTGGGTGGGGGATGGAACAAGCCAGCAGTTGTTGTTTTGTGAGACTTGTGCCACCATAGTTTATTATATATTATATATTATATTGTATTATTATACTTCATAGCAGACATATACACTGTCTGGAAGAAGAATCACATTTCCCAACAATAAAATATTGCAGTTTGGATCCTGGAAAAAACATAATAATAAATATAGGTACAATCTTAACTGAAGATGTTTAGGTTCTGCACAAGTAGCGTGCTGTTTGATCCCCTGAAAAGGTCCACATATTTGGTAATGTGATACCTAACCTCTGTTGATGAATGTGGGTAGGCCTTCAAGTTTTACAGAGTTCAAACAAGGGAAATATTCTGTGAAGGTCAAATGTTTGCACATTTATCGAAGGGTTCTATAAATGTATTGCTTGAACTACTTTTAAGTCTCGTTCTGTGGAACCCAAGGCAGCAGTGCTGCTCTATACCAAACTCTTTGTTTATACATTTAATACACTGGGGAAGAGTCAGAGTCGGCTCCCATGAAATCCACACCGCATTGATCCATTGATATGAACAAGGACATCACATCAATCCATTTTAATAGGAGTTAGAACCCAAATATATAAGGCCCCAAACCAGAACATTCTGCCCAAGATTTGTTTTAGCAACATGATCATGAGGAGCAGAAAATAAATAAACTCTAGGACTTAAACTGTTTAAGAGAGTTAAGTGTCTTTAGTACCTTAATATGGGGTTTTTAAAAATAAATAAATCTGAGACTGGAGTTGCTTTCCCCTCAGCTCCAGGCTTATAAAAACCCAAGGCATCATTTTCAGAGTTTTAGTAGTATTTAGGACAGCAAGACCCACTCAAAGATTTTCTTCTGTAACCTGCATCCCTGTCTGTGATAATGAATAGTGGTTTCCTAGCTACAGTGCTGCACATGATCATAAATCTTTGAAAATCCAATCTACAAAGCACGTTTTGCTGCCGTGGTGCAAAAACCTATGGATTGTGCATAGGAGCAATGCCCTGTTCCACCCCAATGGTCAATGTACACAAGGCTACATAAGAGCTTTGGGCTTGAAGTTGCTGGCACATCCGAATGCTCAACACAGACAAGAGTAACATGTGAAATATCTGGGAGCTGAAACAGTAGTGTGGATCACTGACAGGTAAGTGTTGCAATTGAGATCAGCAGCAGCCAGACCATGGACCTTCCTTTATGAAGCATCCCTGACCCTGTGGTCTTCATCAGAGGCCCTTTTCCATGTGACCCACCCAAGGGAGGTGCAAAGGATGGCCACACAAGAGCAGATCTTTTCTGTGGTGAACTCCCCCAATTTGTGGAATGCTCTTCGCAGGGCATTATCCTTCTCAATCTTTAGGTGCCAGGCAAAGACTTTGTTTACCCAGGACTTTGGTCATTAAGTTGCCTTCTATGGTGGCGCTCACCTTTTAGTGGGGTGGGACTTGTTCTTATTAATCTGATACTGGTCGAGCATCATATATATTTTATACTTTTCATTGTGTTGTGGTTTTCTTTTTTAAAAAAAATGGCTCTAAATTACTTTTGTGTGTTGCACTTTATCTTCTCAAGTCACTTTGAGACTTTTTAAATAAAGATAATAGTAATAGTAATAATAATAATAGCAGCTGATTGTATAGGCAGCCCCAAACTCAGGCAGGATTCCCAGGCTGCTAGACTGAAGTGGGGAAGACTACTTTTCTCCCAGGTTCTCTGACCTTGAAATCAGGAGGTTCTGGGCTGTCAAAATTTCTGAGCACTGTTGGGAAGCTCCATATGCAGCACATTGCAAGAGATTAAGCAGAATATTATGCCATTACAGCTATGGAATTCTGTTGTGGTGGGCAGAACCATCTGAACATCTGCCCTCTTTATTCCAAGAAGTTCTAGCAGAACATTGCTCTGGGAAGAATTGGGCATTATGCATTGGCCCACCAACAGCACTGTCTACCTCCTCTCCTGAAAAAAAACACACCTTCCTAGTGCTGTACAGATATACCATGCACAGTCTTAGTGGAACTGTTCCACTCAGCTGCCATTGAGGCCCTGGCAAAAGGTTCCAGCAGCACTTCACATAAAATACTTAAGTATGCTTTGAACTGCTGGAGGAGACTCTTGAGAGTCCCATGGACTGCAAGATCAAACCTATCCATTCTTAAGGAATGCTCTCTGGAAGGACAGATCGTGAAGCTGAGGCTCCAGTACTTTGGTCACCTCATGAGAAGAGAAGACTTCCTGGAAAAGACCCTGATGTTGGGAAAGATGGAGGGCACAAGGAGAAGGGGACGACAGAGGACGAGATGGTTGGACAGTGTTCTCGAAGCTACGAACATGAGTTTGACCAAACTGCGGGAGGCAGTGGAAGACAGAAGTGCCTGGCGTGCTCTGGTCCATGGGGTCACAAAGAGTCGGACACGACTAAACAACAACATGCTTTGAACATTATATCTCCAAGTAAAATGCCACTTTCAAGCCAAAGTTCACATCACACTTATGGGACCACATTCAACTAAGCAGTTTTGCCAGCGGGAGCCAGTGGCAATGGATTCTGCTAGTGCAACAAGGCTTCCCTCTTCTCCTCCCCCTGTGGGCCCCAGTCAGCTCTGTGGGGTCAAGAGAACTGCCCAGAACAGCACACAGGAGGAGGAGGGGCAAGCAGAAATGCTTGCACTAATGGAATGATCATAGTAGTTTGATATTGAATTCCTCTCATTGTGCATCTATAGATTGCCCTCCAACTGCACATATCTGCTGCCTGTAAGATATGTGGCAGTTGAAAGAACAAATTGTTTCTACTAATGAAGCTCCTGGATGTCCAATTTTTAAAGCAATGCCCCTTTAAACAACAAGGCAACCTTTTGCACTCCTCTAGCAGAATGACCAGGTGGGGCCTACTATGGCCCTAAGCAAGCTATAAATGCTGCAGTGCACACACACCTGCCTTTCCCAAAGCGATAATAGACAGAAACGCCTCCTTTCCATTTCCTCCTTCTATCCTTCCAAGTGACTCTCCCCTTCCATTAATGGATATTTCAATGCTGGAAAGAATTCAAGGGACTACAGTAAGGTAAGGGAAACATCCAGATGTATCAGTAATAATTATGCTCTGCTTGGGGAGTTGAAGGCCCTTGAATAACAGGCGTAGTTTCCATGGATGGCTACAAGATTATAAACATAAAATTTATAAGTGGAATGGGAACATTTGGTTTATTTTCTCTCCTTTTTACAATCACTGCCATTTAAATTGAAAACAGTGAAGGGTAGCAGATCCAGGCAACAACCTGAAGATTGTAAACATAGTAATTCATGTCTTACTGATGGGATATGGTCATATAATCAGTAAATTCATTTAGCCTACTCTGGTTTCACCATTAACTTTCTATTTTCTCATTTCATTGGCATCTCCCTGCCCAGTTTATGTCTTTCCTCAATACATACTGTGCTATAAAGCAGAAGCAAATATCTTGAAGGGTAAATAAAGAGGTAATGAGTCTACAAAAATGTTATTGAGGTACATTAACTCCTACTTGCTGTCCTTTAAACATTTTTTCCCGTCATCCAGGATTCATTTTTACGGTTTGAGCAGGTTCTAGTATTAAATTCTGTCCAGAACTTTTTGGCTTTTAGTTTGAGCCTACACTGCAGAAAGCTTCCCAGAGGCTGGGAGATCCACTATTTACCACAACAAAAAGCAAGTAGCACTAGTCTCCAGTCTTCACTTGGGATGAAAGCCATTTTGGAGAGGTAAAATTCCCCCCTAAAAAAGCACTATGATGCCATGAATATTATCAATCCCAGTTTGGTGCCACTGGTTCCAGTAGTTGCAGCTGATAATGCAGTGCCATGTTTTCCTTAACTGCCTTTCTTGCCAGAATTATTCCTGTGGGTAATCCCAGATGATAAGGGAACACATAGTCAAGAAGGCAATGTCATGATGCTTTATAGCCAATCAGATGAGATCAAATTAAGGCCATTGGGACTGAGAGAGATGAATAGGTGATTTTTTTCCACAAGGAGATGAAATTGAGTTTAGTTCCCATTTTAATATCACAGTTCTTGAAACAAAACACCAATCAGAACACAGCCATCCTTAGAAAGTTGTATTTCTACAAATTTTGTGATGCAGTTCTTCAACCAAACAGAATGTTCAAAATTGTGTTTATTAGGGGAAAGTGTGCATATAAATGCACATATTCATAAAAATGATGTACAAAAATACATTATAAAAGGGGGAATTGCTTGCAATAATGTATACATTAGGCAAAACTGCATACAAAAATGAGTCTATTATGCAAACGACACATTAAAATGTTGATGAATTTTCACAAGGACTTCCTTTATTTTTTTTAAATTGCAAACTGATGCAGAGATGTGGAGAACTGAACTTAGGACTGGAAAAATGAGAAAGCGAGAGAAACCAAAATTGGCAGATTCATCCGTCTCCAGGAATATATATGTTAAAATTGCCAAATATGTTTCTGAAACACTGTGAGTAGCTCTGGCTGAGTTCTAAAAGTAAGATATTCAGATTATAGGTTTATGTAGAGGGCAGACTTGAATTATGCATGCATGTGAGAGGAAAGACCCTGAAATTATATATGAAATGGACAGAAATTAGTTTCTGAGACAATTCTCTCCCAGTTACAGTAATACCTCCATGAACGTCTGCCTTGTCTAGCATCCATTCTGGCGAACGTCTGCAACAAACCTGGAAGTACCAGAACGGGTTACTTCCAGGTTTTCTGCTCACGCATACACAGAAGCGCAAACCACTCCACTAGCACGCACAGACGCGATGCTTTGCCCTGTGTCCTTTTCGGCTAGTGGCTGAGGCTCCGGAATGGATGCCGGCCGCAAAACGAGGTACGACTGTACTACACTTCAACGAATGCTGTTAAAAAGAAATGATGTTTTAGGGTCTAACAAGGGTTTAGCCTTGGCCAGGCTTAAAGCTGGGGGAAGGCCATAGCTCAGTGGCAGAGCATCTGTTTTGCATGGAGAAGGTTCTGTGTTCAATCCCTGGCATCTCCAGGTAGGACTTGGAAGGCTCCTTGGTCTGAAACTATGGGGAACCATTGCCAGTCAGTGTAGAGACAATACTGAGCTTGATGGAGCAATGGTCTGACTCAGTATAAGGCAGCTCTCTATGTTCCTCAAGCCTCCTCAGATGAGAGGCAGGGGAGCAGGACCCTCCAGCAGATCTCCACGTTGCCAGTAATTCTGAGAAGCCATCAGATCTTGAGTTAAGGTCCCCTCACCAGCTGCTGGGTTCCTGGCTGGCCCTCAGATGCCACACACCATCTCCCTCAGGGCCACGGGAGCAGAGGAGGTGGTGAGGCAAGTAAGAACTTAAGAGGTGCTTCAAAAATGCCTTGCTAGCTGCCTGTCGGGCTACTCAGAGGCAGGGAGGAGTGCAGGGACACTCTTGTTTGGATCAGGACCTGGATGAAAGCCAGAAAGGGGTTGGAGCCTCTGTATCAACTCCCAGTCTGAGGTGCTGCATTGCTGAAACAACAGCTTTCATTCTAGTTACAGCCTTCCAGACCTGGGGGAATGGACAGTTAAGTAGAAAATGCTCCTCTGCAGTCATAGCACTTTGTAAAATAGCAGCCCTGAGAAGGAAGTGGTAGCTAATGGTGCAGTTGGGTATTTTTAGACTCTGGATATAATGGTTTAATTTTGGGGCTGGGCCTGTTTAGAAAGTGATGTATATTATTGGTAAGCTAGATCTGCTGCGCATTGGGTGCCCTCCTGTTCATTCTGCTGAGTTGAGCCCTGGACCTTTGCCCTCAAAGTCCTGCCTAGAGGAGGCTGGAGAAGTTACAAAATCAGGTGTAGGCACTAGCCAGTGCATAGAGTTAGGGTCAAGGTCAGTGAGTAATGGCAGCATGCGCCTTCCACATTTAAGTCTCTGAGATCTGGGGACTGAAATTCAAACCTAAATCTCTGACCCTATCCAACCATGAGAATAATAAAACATGAGTATAATAGAAGCCTTGGAACCATTGGTATCTCTAGCCCAACAGAGCATGAAGACAACAGCCCTTCCCCATAGCACTGGCCTTTGAAGGAAAACTGGCAGTTCCATGGCTAATGCCTTATTATCACTACAACTCACTGTGGGTCTCATCCCACTGTGAAGCCCTTTAAGCAAGTGGCCATGATTATTGGCAGTGAGTTCCGTACAAGAATGGTGCATTATATGGAAGAAGCACTTTCTTTTGTCCTCTGCTGCTAATCTGTTTCATTGTTTGGCCCTGGGTTCTAGCCTTACGAAAGAGAAAGAAAAACTCTCTATTCTTGCTGCACCATATAAACCTTCATAATATCCCCCCCCCCAGTTGTCTTTCTACTTTCTTCCTTTAAAAAAAAAGTCTTGGGGAAAGTAATATCAAAACTTTACAAGAACCAGATTGCTATTAGCCTGGGCTGTTCACTTGCATTAGCCTTCAGGGTGGTAAGGGCTGTAAGGACATTGGGAAGCTGTCTTTGCTGCCTGCATCCTATTCGTAGGTGCAGTTTGCAGGGTGGGGTGGGGGGACGGATGGACTGTTTTTCACAGATTCAGAGAAAACAGAAGACTAGTTGGGAAATGTATTAAAAAAGAACTACTTAAATACTGTGCGACTTAATAATACCATTTTTTAGCCCTCACATCACAAACAGTATTTAATTTTCTCTGCAGGTAATTCCACTGCTGCATGGTTATATTGTTTGGCACATTAGTGGAAGAAGCTTTGTTTATTGCATTGTTGTTGTTTGCATTTATATCCCACCTTTTTCTCCAAGGAGCTCAAGGTGGCTTACATGGTTCTCCCCGCCTCATTTAACCCCCCAACAACCCTATGAGGTAGATTAGACCGAGTGGCAGTGGCTACTGCTGTTTGTTATATATTTATGTTTGTCATTTATACATATTTCTCTGTCCATCGTTCATGCTGTAATGTATTTGTTTTTAAATGCCCCCCCCCCCCGAGCTCAGGGGCTTACACTTGAGAGGCACTTGCTGTCATTACTCACTGACCTTTATTAAATTTGATATATTTAGTTGTATGCTATTTGAATAGTTCTGATCTGTATCTGTATCTATGTTTCATTTCCCAACTTGTCTGCACTTTTATTGACTTTTGTGGTTGGGTTGCATATATCTCTCATGGTTTTTGCAATTTCTTCTGAGCTGTTCCATATTGGGTGACACTCAACACCCTGGGGCTGTGTCTGAGAAATTCAGATGGTGCCTCACTGTGTCCTACAAACAGTTTTGCAAGGGGTTGCCCCGAAGTTTCTTCAGAAGTGATTGTGCATTCGCTCAGAAGGAACAGCAGCGACACTGAATTCTTTTGAAGTTGTCAGGAGAAGAGGTGCCATATGAATGCATCTTCCACTTTCTCCAAAGGCAGTTTTAATGCCCTGAGGGCATGAACCTCTTGAAACCACTCATGGCATGGTTCTCTCTGTTGTTGATCAATAAATTACCTGGTCAACAATTAGCTTTGCTGGGCGACTGGTAGACCAATACAGATGGGAAGAACCATAGAATTTTAGTCCTGGTGTAGTTCTTGAAGATCATCTAGTTCAATTCATTGCTCAATGCAGGAAAAGCAATGGAACCCCCAAGATGCTGCTACCCCAGAATAACTGTGGTAGTCATGTAGAGCTTTCTGGTAGACCCTGCCCCTCTAGCCAGTGGTGGTATACTTGTCAGAGATTTATGGAACAACAAATTCTGGACATTAACCCCAACTTTTCCACCTATTAAATTGCAACTGGAATCAACCTATGATTGAGTGCATGTGAAACTGATGTGAAATGGAAGTAAGTGGACTGATTCATCCTTAAGAATTATTATAGGGATCAGCACCATTATTTTTCCCTCTGTATTCCCAACAGCTTTGTCTTGGAAATTTAGAACTCAATGAGCAGTTTTATATATTACACCAAGTTGTGGGTCAACTGCCTTTGGTATCCTGGTTGCATGGAAAGTTTTGATGGCAAGAGGGAGTGCATGGTAGAACAGGAAGTAAGCAAATAGTGCATGGAAAATGTGTAAGATATCCACCAGCTGTGGACTTCCCTGCATGCATATTGTATAAAAACTTTGGCTTTATGTACATTAAAATGTGCCAATCACCAACAGCCTTCAGATTCATTTTATGGTTATGTTTCTAACAAATGATCCTACTTCTAGGCTAGACAAGATGTAATTTCTTCTCTTTGCATTTGGCCAAGGTGCTAACCTGCAATGAACTGGTGTGAATCTTCGTGCATTTGAGTGTGTGCAGTATGCAAAATGAAATGTTGTGCATCGTTTTTAACGGCAAGAATATTTTAGCTGTTCAACATGTAAACAACCATCTGGGCTGATCTGATCAATGCCGCTCTCCAGGCTGCATTTGATATGGTGCTATATATAGAGTTCCTGGAGTTTTATTTAATAGGACGGTACATTTGATCCTAATGCACCATCTCAAAAGTAATGAAGCAGAAAAGATATTTATCTTGTGTGAAAGTTGCAGTTATTGGCAACCATTCAGAAAAAAAATAAAAGTAATTGCACAATCTTTGGGAGATATTGTATTGCTAACTGATTTCAGTGCAAGGCTTGGGTGGTTTTCATTAGGAGTTAATCAGGCAATGGACCATATATGTTGCAAATACATCATTTTCAGCTGCTCTCCAAGATATTGACAAATACAATTGCTGGAGGTGCCACTCTGGTTTCTTGAGCATGTGCACCCCCCCTACCTTTCAGTTTTATGTTAAGCTTCTTTCTAGGTGAAAAAGAAGATGGAGAAATACTATATCAATGTGAGAAACGCATTCATTGAGTGTTTAATGTGCAATACTACCAACTATTCTGTTAGCACATTTTGCAAAACTGAGGCACATAGGAATACATACATTTTGTGGTTTACTCTGAAATCTACAGACTAAGTAATGCGATTAGCATTGAAATTAAATACAATGCATAGTGGGGGTCAGAGGTGTTTGTCATCGACACCACGCCATGCAGGGAGGGATGATTTAAGCCTTTCCTCCCCAGTAATGATCTCAGTAAAATTCCCCCCTTCCACGCAGCAATTAACATTGGGGAGGGACTTCTGTTGGTGTCAGTGGGAGGGTTTTTATTCATAATGCTAATTGCTGTGAGGTTTATTTTTATTTTTTACTAAGGTCACAGCTGGGGTATATACCTCAACTCCCCACACAATGCGATGCTGCTGACAATCACCCCCTGCCCCTGGCTGCTACTTAGGGTTTTTTTAAAGTGTTTTTTGGTGTTTTAAAAAAGGCATAATGTGATTATTAATCACATCGTTAATATAACCTGTATTTAAGACCTAAGGAGGCCTTGTCACAAAGAGCAGCACCTTTCATTTATCAACAGAGACACTCAACGTAGTTAGTGGCATCACTGTAATCACATCTATGACTAAGCTAACAGTTCAGTTTTTTAAAAAAGAACCTTTAATTGACTTGGGAGCAGGGAGGGTGATTTATGTCTACCTTCCAGTGGCAGCTAGCTGGCAGATGCCATCCCATTCCCCATAATGTCTCTGTGACCAATACACCTTAATATATCTTAATTTCAATGGGAATCATGAGGAAAGGGGGGGAGATGGCAGCCATCTCCCCCCCCTTTAGCCACACCTGGGAATCATGTCAGGTGATGATGTAGCAAACTGGCACCCTCTGGATGTTTTAGCTTACAATTCCCATCAGCCCCAGCCCCCCATTTCACAGGGATGTTATGTGTACAGTGGTACCTTGGGTTACAGACGCTTCAGGTTACAGACGCTTCAGGTTACAAACCTAGAACCCAGAAATAGCACCTCTGGTTAAGAACTTTGCTTCAGGACAAGAACAGAAATCGTGCTCTGGTGGCACGGCGGCAGCAGGAGGCCCCATTAGCTAAAGTGGTCTTCAGGTTAAGAACGGACCTCCGGAACGAATTAAGATCTTAACCCGAGGTACCACTGTACACGTGTCTGTGGGGGAGCGGGGGAGGGTTAGTGGCTGGTAGCTGTTGA